AAAAAAAAAAAAAATAAAAAGAACTGAAGATGTAGCTCAGTGGTAAAGCAGACCTGGGTTTCAATCCCCAGTGCCTGACCTTACTATATTATTGTCAAATAAAAAATATAATTTTGAAGGAGTCCTAGGCAAAAGTTTCTCTTGCAGAGATCTTTTAAAAATTACAGTATTTACATTAAAATATTAACATTGTGTCAGACAAAAATTGAAATGCAGATAAAATGCCATGCTATTTTAATTTAGTAAAGTATATATTCATAAGGACTTTTTTTTTTTTACTATTTAATACAGTAACATTAAAATCTAGACTAGGGACATGAAAATATCTTATGACAGTTTTGTAAGAAAAGTGGTTTTATTAGGGCAAACAATAAGATTGTTAATGTTATGAATTAATATTTTATTTTAATTAATTGTGTGATTATTCTTTTAGTATTATGTGGATTCCCTAGCACTTTTGTTTTACAACCTCATTCTTAAAAAATTCCAGCGGCTGGTTTTTTTGCATTTCCCTTAATTGTAGTGATCTTAAACAGATCTTCAGTTTGAAATCTGCCAATTGTTCTAATATAGATGTATAAATATATTTTCTCCAGTTGGCTCTTTATTACAAAGACAGCTTGTTTGTGGGCACCGTCAGGACATCTGCATTTTATTGGACTTAATTTTTAGTAATAAAGACCTCCCACATAACAGATTTTTTCCAGTCTGAATTTGCCTGTGTGGGAAGCAAAAGAACCTGTCAGTCAGGGAAAAAAAGTAAATCCATATGGTGCTGATGATCTGCTTTCCTGGCTGCAATGAAGAAAGAGTTGAGTATAGACAATGCCCCCAGCAGATCTGTTTGTTTTTTTTGCTAAAAAGCTTACTGCTGTGGTCAAATATTGGTGTTTCTCTCCAAATCCATATGCTGAAGTGTAATGAACAATATGCCAGTATTAAGAGGTGGGGCATTTGGGAAGTGATTAGGTCAGGAAGGCTCTACCCTTGTGTATAGGATGGTGCCATTTAAAGTGGCAAGAGGGAGCTACTTTCCTTTTTGCCCTTGTGCTGTACAAGGATATGTAGTAGGAACCATATATGTGGAATGCACCCTTCACCAGACACTAAATCAGTTGGTACCTTGATCTTGGACTTTCCAGGTTTCAGAAGCAATAAATTTGTTGTTTATAAATGACTCAGTCTAAGGTATTCTGTTTTAGACCCCTAACAGACAAAGTCACTTGCTATAATAACAAAGGTTGGTATTAGCCCTAACCCACTACTGTTGAGCCAGCCTGGTTCATTCATGTACCATGCATCAAGCCATGAATGCTTCACCTGAATCATGAGGACACATTCTATTTTGCCTCAATCTTGTTTTGTTTCTTTTGCATGTTTGCTCAGTTCCTGGATCTTGCCAGTCTTCCACTTTGGGGGTCACTTCTACTCCTTGGACTTGTTTGGTCTTGGTTTCCATAGTCCAATCTTCAGGGCTCTTTACTTTGGCTTAAGTTTTCACTCAGCCTTTATGACATGGAGCATGTCAAAAAGTGGTCAAAACATTGTATTTTCAGCTTTATAAAGGTGACAAATAATTGCTAGTAGAACTTGAAGTGATGACAGATCTATATTTTCACAGTTATACATAATTCTTCACAGTGCACAGATTAGACAGAAACTAAATTTTTTTCTTTTGATTGACATCAAAACACTGGGAGCTCATTTCTCCTGGTCAACATCACCAACAGGATGAGGCGGAAACTGGGTATCACATACTCTTTACTATTAGTGTTACCTCCTTCAACACAACAACCCACTATCTTGTGTTTCTATCCATCTATAGCTCCTTGTTAATTCTGAATTTCAGCCAGAGAGAAGTGTTGGGGGTTGAGCCCATTGTCTCACACATGCTAGCCAAGTGCTCTTGCATTGAGTTATACCCCTAGCTCAAGACACTGCTTTTTAAGACACTTTTGTGTTTATTGGGTAAATGCAAATTTAGTTTAATAAGTATATTTATTGCTGAGGGGATACAAATATTGATGACTTATTCTTAAAAATTTTATTATCCAACGTAGTGGGTAGAATTGTCCTCCTTTAAGATATGTTTATATCCTAACCCCTGGTGTCTGTGTGTTGTGGTTTGGACGTTAGGTGTCTCTGAAAAGCTCTTATGTGAGACAATGCAAGAAGTTTTGGAGCAGAAATGATTGGTTTACAACCTTAACCTAATTAGTGAATTAGTCCCAGATGGGATTAACTGAGTGGTAACCAAAGGCAGGTTGGGTGTGGCTGGAGGAAGTAGTTCATTGAGGGCTTGGCTTTGGGGTATACATATTGTATCTGGAGAGTGGAGTTTATTCCTCTCTGCTTCCTGGTGGCCATGTGAGCTGCTTCCTTCTGCTACACCCTTCTGCCATGATGTTCTGTCTCATTTTGAGCTGGCCATCTATGAACTAAGACCTCTGAAATCATGAACCCTTAAATACATCTTTCCTCCTTTGAAATTGTTCTGGTTGAGTCTTTTAGTCTCAGGAGCGGAAAACGCTTGTGAATGCGGCCTTTCCTGAAAATAGGTTCTTTGTTTTAATCAATGTTAAATGAAGTCACACTCTAATTTATTAGAGTCTCCCTTAAAATAACGTCTTGTGCATTTATAAGAAGGGGAAATTTGGGCACATAGACACATAGGGAGAATGCTATGTGATGATGGAGTCCAGAGACAGAGAAATGAGTTTGTAAGTTAAGAAGTGCTGGCAATCCCCAGAAACAATTAAGAATCAGAGAAGGATTCCTCCTTAGAACCTTGAGAGAAAGGATGGTCCTACTAATAGCTTGATTGCAGACTTCAGGCTTCTAGAACTGGGGGAATAAATATCTGTGGTTTTAAGCCATCCAGTTTGTGGTAATCTGTATGGCAATTTTGGAAAACTAATATACTAGTCAATAAAACAGAAATATGAAGAATAAGCTGTAATAGAGGTTCAGAGATATATGGATACAAAGGAAGGAGATAGCTTTCTCAATGTCATGGACAGTAATTCTAATTCTTAGAACACCAGGTTTCCTTTGTACAAACTTAGTAACCTATCTGACTCTTTGATTTATTGTGTGCTTTAAAATGAGTCACCTCACCTCTCTGAACCTGTTTTTCATCAGTGAAAGGGGGCTTTGGCTCAACAGATGATTTCTGAAGTCTGCTCCACTTGTAATCTTATGTTTCTAAATCTGTAGCATGTATGATTTTTTGCCAATAGTGTATGTATAATTTAAGAAGTGGTTAGGCTACGGGGAAGGATTCACTTATGGGATTTAGTGTTCCCTCCTTCTCCTGTCCACCTCACTCTTTAAGAGGTGAGAAGCCTGTGAAACCAAAGCACCTTACTCTCCAAGCTGAGACTCGTCTCGGGTGTGTTGAGTCGAAGCACCACACTTTCAGATTAGGAGCTGCTTAAACATCCTTCTTTCAGGCAAGCATATTTGAATAAAGAAATAATTAACACTAATTTCTGTCCATGGATCAATCAACCCGGCAGTTGAGTGGAATAGAGGGAATTCATTTGGTTTCTGGGCAGTCCCTGAGCAGGCAGTTTAAACTCTCTAAGCTTGTTTCCTTATCCTTAACACGGCGATAACAATATCATCTTGATGGGTTGTTGAGAGGACGAAATAAATATAAATATACACTTTTTGAAGAGCCTGCTGTCTAGTGGGAGCCTATAAATGTTATTACTTGCTTAACAAAATCGTTGCTTAAAGAAAGGACACTGATGAGCCTCCGGGGTCCTCCGTCCGACCCCCCAGCTAGCAGGCGAGTCAGACGCTGGGCCCGCTTTGCACCCACCCGGCAGAGGCTTGGAATGTGGGGCAGCATGGCCCGCGCGCGCGGGCTAGAAGGGCACGGGGGCGGGGCGGGCGGAAGTGCTAGCGCGCCGCTGTCAGCTGCACCGGAAGTTCCTGGCCCGGCCTGGCGGTAACCTTGGGGGGGCCTGGCTGCCGCGGCTGCAGTTGCTGGGTGGGCTTAACGAGTCTGCGCCTCAGCCAGGTTAGGCTCCTTAGCTGCCGGAGCCGCCGGGGTTGTACCGGAGTTCGCTGACGTACGCGGGGAGCGGGCACCCGCTCGCGGAGCTGCCCAGCCGACATGTCTCTAATGGCGGAAGCTTTCGTCTCCCAGATCGCAGGTAGCACGCGTGGCCCCGGACCGAGGCGGGGGCGGCGCGGGGCAGGTGCGGGGAGTTACGTGGGATATCGGACTGGAAAAGCTCCATCCTTGTGGAGTTGGATGCCGAACCTCGGTCCGGGAATGGAGGCATCCACCGAATACTAGTCTCCCTTTACCGGTGAGAAAACTGAGGAGGGCACTGAGGCCAAGGTCACTCCGCCGGGGCAGGAGTCCGTCTGCTTTCCCAGGGCGGTGCTTTGTCCCGCTCCCCAGTCCTTTGGGAGCGGCTGGGGTGTGTGGAGGAGGCCCTGGGCTGCTGTGGAGTTGGGGGGGCGTGGCCACAGGCCTGGTTGCCCCAGGGCTTCAGTTTAAGAGTGGGGGCGGTCTCTTAGGTCGTGGGACCACAAATTTTAAGTGACTGTCAGTGAGTTGTCCTTGTTACCTCTTGTCATTGAGGTGCCCCCAGGTTCTTGCTTGCTCTTCCACCGACACAATGCTACCGTTTATTAAGTCTGAGGTTCATTGAAATATCTTTAAATCTACATGTACTTTAAAGCAATATCTTTGATTTGTTGGACCGATCTTGACTGCTGTCAATAAGTTTATAATATTTGTTTTCTTACGGAGGATTTTTATTTATTGTGTTGAAAGAAATTAAATATTAAGAGAGAGACTAGTAAGGAGACTAGACATATGTGTATCTAGGTGTAGGTTAATGGAGTAAGCTTCAGTGTTTTCCACTTAAGAATAATAAATGAGACAGTCACCAGGATAAATAATACATTTGGAAGAAAAAAGTAATATTTTGGAAATGGAAAGTAAGAATGCGTTATACTTTGCCAAAATGTTTTTCACTGCATTTGTGTGAATATCTATTTCTTTTTTCCTTTTCCAGTTAAAATGAATACATTTTTTTTTCTAGAAGAAGAGAGAAGTAGCCATGGTGAATTTCATGAAAGCAGGGATCAGACTTACTTTGATCTCCATTGTATCCCAAACCCCTGTTAAAATATCTATAGCATGAATCAATGGTCAATCTTGAGATTTCAAGCCATAATTATTTTATTTTTGCCACTTAGGTTTAAAAATATAAAATCTGGCTCATATAGTTAGATCAGTGACTTGGATTGCTATTACATTAAATCATTTTATAGTGTACGCTTATATTGATATACTGTGTGTATGTACCCAATATGTGACCACCCCCTGCTATTAAGGATCAAATCCAGGGGCACTCCATCACTGAGCTACATTCCCTTTTACTTGGAGACCTGGTTTCCCTCAGTTGCTCAGGCTGACCTTGAATTTGTAATTCTCCTGACTCAGCCTCCCAAGTAGCTGAGATTACAGGCATGTGACATCATTCCATCTGTGTGATTTTATTTTAAAGAGAAAATGATTAATGCTTTTGAATAAATTTTTAGTAAGTTTGAAATTCTGCCTCAATTAGTGAAGTTTAAGAATTGCTAGGAATTTTGCCTGCCATTTTAAGCTGTTTATAGGGATTTATTACTCTAGGAGGAAGCATGTAAAGATGGATAGTTCAATAAATGATGTTGGAACAGCTCCTAAGTGATAGCACCACATGAATAAATTTCAGATGGATTAGAGATTTAAATGTAAAATAGCAACACAAATCAAATTGTAAAATAATTGGAAGAAAATAGTAGGAGAAAATACAGGAGATTATTTAGAAAATATTGGATAATGGAAGAGACCTAAGCAGGATACAGAATCCAGATTCCATAAGAGAGAAAATTGGCAGAGTTGGTTGTGGAAAAGTATTAAGAGCTTTGCATAATGAAAGACATCATAAGTTTAAGACATAATCATACAAATTAAGAAAAAAGCAATTAATTGGAGGGGAAAAATAGAATTAAGGCAAGGGACATGAACAGGCATTTCACAAAAGGGGAATTGCAAGTAGATAATGAATAGATTAACCATCATTAATAGATAATATTCTCACCTAGTTGGATGAACAGAAATGAGTATGATAATTTCTAATCTTGACAAGAGCATGGAAAAACAGTTACCCTGAAATTATTGGTGAGTCTAAATTATTACTGTTTAGGAACTTAATATAGCAGTATTTATTAAAATGCCATCCTCTTACCCAGAAATCCCCTTATAGGGATTTATATAATGGAAAAATGAGGACCAGTACATAAAGAAATATATACTAGTACTAATTGTAGCACTATTGATAATAGCAAAAACTAGAAATGTCATAAATATATATGAAATTATGGTACTGATCTAGCATTCACACTTCTGAGTGTCTATCCAGAGGAATTGAAATTGGTATGATGAAGAGATATATTTACTCTCATGATCATTGTAAAGCCATTATAATAGCCAAGATATGGAAGCAACCCGAATGTCCATTATCAGATGACTGGATAAAGAAAATGTGATTTGTTGAGACTGGGAATGTAGCTCAGTGGTACTGTGCTTGCCTATTAATGTGTGAGGCCCTGGGTTCAATCCAAATACTCAATTTATATATACAATGGAATACTATACAGCCTTAATAAAGGAAGTGCTTCCACCATTTGTGATAACATGAATGGAACTGTAGGATCTTATGCTAAGTGAAATCAGATAAGCACAGAAAGACAATTACCGTTCTTGTAGAAACAGTAGAAAAGAAGTGGGGAAGGGGTGGGGTATGGGATAGTGAAAGAAGAGATGTTGATCAAAGACTATATTTAGACTGGAAGGATAAGTTTTAGAGCTCTATTGTATTGCATGATGACCACAGTTAATGTGTATTTCAAAATTGCTAAAAGAATAGATTTTTAAAATGTGCTCATTGCACACAAAAAGTTCATGAAGTGATGGCTATATTAATTCATTTGATGTAATCTTTCTGCAATGTATACGTAGATCAAAACGTCGTATTTGTCAGATACTAAAAATGAAAAGGTAGACCCTGTTAAATATATTGACTTCAAAGTATGAATCATATTAAGTAAAAGTTATACAGTGGTATATATCATTGTAAGTCTAATAAAGCTTATGTACATAGACATGTTTATTTTTTTTATTTTTTGGGGTACCAGGGATTGAACTCAGGGGCGCTTGGCCACTGAGCCACATCCCCAGCTCTACTTTGTATTTTGTTTAGAGACAGGGTCTCACTGAGTTGCTTATCGCCTTGCTTTTTCTGAGGCTGGTTTTGAACTCAAGTTTCTCCTATCTCAGCCTCCTGAGCTGCTGGGATTAAAGGCATATGCCACCATGCTGGGTGACATGTTTATGTTTATTTAAACAGAAAAACTTGCAGGATAGTATTTAATTAATTTTCACTAGGAATTTCAAGGTAATGAAGATAGGGTGTTGATGGAGAGTGTAGAAACTTTGTTTCTGAATTATTTAAATTTCTTTAATAGCATATTTTACTTTTGTAAGTTAAATGATTCTAATTTTTTAAATCAAAAAGATTTTTTAATAAGTGAAAAAGGAAAGGCAAACTAAAATAATCATTCATCAAAAATCTTAAGATTTGATTTTTCAGTGACTTATAAATATGACTTAGATGCAACAACTATTTACAGTATTCTGTTTCTGGTAGTCATATGGTTTTCTTCAAGGAGTCAATCTCAAGAAGGGATATATATATATATATATATATGTGTGTGTGTGTGTGTGTATGTATATATATATATAAGACTATGTATATATATATATATATAGTCTTATTGTAACTAAAAGAGTCATTAGGAATTGGTTTTGTTTTGAGAGCACTAATTTTTAGTGTATCTGACATTCACTTTATTATTCTTTGGATGGACATGAGATAACGTGCTTTTGATATTTCTTTTGGAAACATTTAAAGGCATCTGCCATCTGTCTGTGATATTTTCTTAGTGTCTTCCTTGAGAGCCTTATTCTTAACAACATCATTTTGGAAGCTGTCATAGCCTGTATCTAATATGTTCCCCCAAAGGTCCACATATTAAAGGCTTGGTTGATCCTCAGAGTGTGTGTATTGGGAAGGGGTGGAAACTTTTAAGAGGTAGGACCAAGTGGGAGGTCTTCTGGTCATGCCCTCAAATGGAACTGTGAGATCGACTACTCTGTCTATTACTCATTAGTCTGACTTCCTTGCTCTATCTTTAACTTATTGCTATTACTTTATTTCAAGCTTTTGTTATTTCTCACTTGGATTTCTGTATTAGTATCTGCATTGATTTCATTGCTTTAGGCCTTGCCTTCTTCTTAAAGAGTCTCTGTATTGCAAGCCTCAGTGGGTATTTTTGTTTGCTTATTTGTTTTATTTCCATTTTCCTAAAATATTGGGGTGACTTCTCTTGTTTTAATACTTTCATTGATTTACCAGTGTCAGTAGAGTTAAGCGGCATATAAGATGTTCCATGACTAAGTCCAGGTCTCTCTCTCTAGCTTCATCTCTTGTCATTCCTTTCTCTGAATTCCAACCTTCTAAACTATTTGTAGTGTTAAACCTTAGCACATGTTGTTCTTTGTCCAAAATGTTCACTTTATTTAGACAATTTCTGTTTCTTAAGATTCTGGACACCATTTGAATAAGTGACATTTTTTTCCTCTGTATATAAGAAAGATTTGTAGTATCATATCAGCAATATAAGGAATAAAGTAAAAATTACCTGGAGTCATGTTGCCCAGATTGACTCTTTTTTTTTCTTTCTTTTTCTTTTTTTCCAGTTCTGGTGATTGAATTCAGGGCCTAGCATACACTAGGCAAATGGCAAATACCCTACCACTGAGTTATAGCCCTAACCTGTAGATTGAGACTTTAAAATCCCATTGTCTTTAAAACTTGGATGAACAAAGCTGTATCATTCCTCAGTTTAAATATACTGACATATTGGGCTGGGGATGTGGCTCAAGTGGTAGCGCGCTCGCCTGGCATACGTGCGGCCCGGGTTCGATCCTCAGCACCACATACAAACAAAGATGTTGTGTCCGCCGAAAACTAAAAATAAATATTGAAATTCTCTCTCTCTCTCTCTCTCTCTAAAAACAAAAGAAAAA